CCGCCCCTCCCAACCCCCCGCGCGCACACGCCCCCAACCGTACCCCCCCCCCCCCCCCAGAAATTATCCTCGACACCGCACATCCTGTTATGATAGCTACACTATCATTCCCTTTTGTCATGAAAGAATGTTGACTCAAAGATAGTTGAGTCAAAAATGTTATGATAGGTACGCTGCCATTCTCTCTCTTTTTTATCATGAAAGAATGTTGACTCAAAATAGTTGAGTCAATATTCTTTGATCTCTAGTGATACTATATATATATATATAGGATTGTTTAGTCAAGAGAAAAAAGACCTTATTTGTTTCGGATCAAGATTTTCGGTTTTTTATTGTTATTATCGGAATAAAAGGAGCGGCGGCTAGCAAATGGTGCACTAGCCGAATTATTACTATATGTCAACAAGAAGTGGCAGATCATATCAACCCAATCATCAACAAACTACTCCAACTGCAAATATAAATAACACAACAGGTACAAATAAAATGTCGGAAGAATTATTATTAGATGCTGTTGTCAAAGATTTTCCACGGTTTTCGGGTAACAAAAGCGAAAATGTTGATGATTGGCTTCGATCATTAACTGTTAAGTTTATCGCCTTGGATATTGATAATGACGCAAAACGGAGATGGGCTCCTCAGTTTCCTACAAGTGAAGCGCTTAAGTGGTACCTTACACAACACACATCTTTGAAAACATGGGACGAATTTCAACAAGCCGTACGAACTAATTACCCACCAACACCGGAACATACACGTGCATCTACTTTTCAACAGCTATTAACACGAAAACAAACAATGGAAGAAAAATTTATTCACTATTATACTGATATGAAAAATTTATTTTATAAATACGATCGCACTATGTCAGTTGAACAACAATTGGATCTTATAAAAAATGGCATGAAAATATGATTGTTAGACAAAATTAGTGGTTTAGAAATTACCACACCTCAAAAATTACTTGAATTGATCCAACGTTATGAAGAAGATCAACAACTTATCGATTCACGTACATTCCCGCTAGCTACATCAGATACTCTCCCACTCAGTTCGCAATCGTCAACTCGCCCATTCGCATCGGCTTCACAATCATCTGCCTCATCATATCGTCCGCGGCAATATTCAACTCAAAATTACTCGCTACCTTATTATTCATCGTATCCTTCAACTTCACAACCGTATCCCTCCAGCACAAGAAATCGTTCGAACAATTGTTATCGTTGTGGCGAACCAGGCCATTATGCTCGAGGCTGTTTAAAAAGATAATGGGAGATCGCGATGGTGATACTCCTAATACACAACGAAATCCATCATTCACATCCCGTACTTCCTATCTACATAAATCTTCATATTGTAACTATTGTGCCACTTACGGGCATTTCACTCGAAACTGTACGCATGATAGTCATCAAAATATGTCTAATCTTAATCCATCTCTCATATTTATTAACATTTTCGTAAACAATCGTGCAACCCGGGCTCTTATCGATTCAGGACTCCTCTAAACATAATCGGCGAGATCAACCTCACAATTCGCGCCAACGACATTCTGACACCTGTCACGGCTCTAGTAGTTAAAAAATTAAATTTCGATTTTATTCTGGGTGCAAACTGGTTCATTCAAACAGGTCCTAGGATTGAATACGATCGTCACCAAGTTTCTATTCATTCATACCATGGTCGTTCTGTTATTCCGTTTGATAAAAATATCAATCATCTAGCATTAGACGTCAAACTACTGAACACCATTACACTTCCACCGCGTGAAGCATCTGTGGTACAAGCAAAAACAGACATTTCGTCCGCCGATGCGGTGTATTTCGATCCTGATTCCGATTATTTAACATGTAAATTAATCCAAATTGCTCCAGCAATGTTAAAAGTACAAAGTTATTGCACATTTCTTAAAATATTTAATACCAGCGACTTTCCACGCACTTTATATAAAAATGCAATCATTGGACACGTAACACATATACCTGCTGATGTCGAGAGTTTTCCCATTCAGCCACCATCATATTCGTCAGAACACGATCGCTCGTTTTTAAATTCTTTTCGAACTCACGTACATCTACGTCAGAAACAATCGAAAAATTAATTAATCACATTCATGATCCGGTAGAAAGAAATGGCTTACAGAAAATATTATCGTCACATGCAAAAATCTTTGACTTATCCAAGATCACACAAGCCCACACTTCATTACAACACACCATTAATACCGGCGACGCCCTTCCAATTAGCTCACGTCCATACCCCAAAACGGTCGATCAACGCCGTGAATTACAAAACGTAATACAAGATATGATGGCAAATAATCAAATCCGTCCTTCAAATTCTTCATGATCATCACCAGTGATACTACATAAGAAACCAAATGGTGGTATACGATTCTTGGTTGATTACCGTAAACTCAATTCGGTTACCCGCAAAGATTCCTTTCCTCAACCTACCACTGAGGAGTTAATCACCCAAATAGGTGGAAGTAAATATTTTACCAAGTTAGACTTAAAATTTGGATACTTCCAGATCCCTATTCATGAACAAGACAAAGAAAAGACCGCGTTTATAACCCGGGATGGTTTATGGGAATTCAATGCTCTTCCGCAAGGTGTCATGAATGGCCCACCTACCTTCCAACGAGTTATGCATAATTTGATTGGTAACGGTCGTTGGAATTATGTGGTGGTTTATCTTGACGACATACTAATATTTTCCAAAGACTTTAATGAACACAAGCAACATGTCAATGAAATATTATCGATATTGAATAAAGCAAATTTTCAAGTGAACCCTGATAAATGCACAATTGCTGTCCAGGAAATTGAATATTTAAGCCACGTCATTAACAAGGATCAAATCAAGCCTTCACCTGAAAAAATTCGAGCCATTACTGAATTAGCACCACTAACAACATTAAGTCCAGCCAATGAATTTATTGGAAAATTGAATTCGTATAGAAAATTCATCCCACATTTTGCTGAAATTGCTGCTCCGATCCACAAAGTAACAAACAAAACAAAGAAAACTAAACATGAATTTTACTGGCATAACGAACAACAAGAAGCATTCGATGAATTTAAACACATACTTACAACTACACCATTATTTCTACAGTATCCAGATACAACAGCACCCTTCATCTTATCAACGGATGCATCAGTAATTGGCATTAGTGGCATTCTACGTCAAAATACGAAAAGTGGCACACGAATTTGTTATTACAAATCTCGTACATTGACCGATACAGAAAAACGTTATGATCCAATTGAACGAGAAGCATTAGCCATCTACTGGAGTGTGAAAGAACTTCGTCAATATCTCGGTGATTCTTTCTTTTCAATTGAAACAGATAGCGCACCCTTGATAAATTTTCACAAGAAACAAATTGCTAACAAACGTGTTATGCATTGGCTATTCAAATTACAAGATATTCTCCATCAAATTACCGAAGTTAAGCATTTAAACCGAGATAAAAATACTGGTCCCTATTACCTCTCGAAACATCCGCTATCGCATCGTTCGACCTCACTAATGGCACCTGACGACGAGGATGACGGCTGGCCTCCAGGCACTGACACGTGGGACATCACACCAACACGTTCACCGTCCTTCTTCGAGCAACTGAACGCGGTTATCACTCGTCATCAAGCAAAACGACAAACGGCTCATACTCCTTCTTCAGTTTCTACACAAGATCCAACTCTATCGACACCTCTATTCGACTTAAGTCTTGACCGTGTATACCAAGCACAACTCAACGATCCAGACATTCAGGAAAAGGTTGAACTTCTTCGAAAACATCCATCCCAACTCTCACTCGAAATCAAAAATGGAATTCTATGCAAATTATTACCACGCGGAAAAATTAAACGTGCTCTACCATACATTCCAAAAGCTCTCATTAAAGATATATTATTCACACATCACGACCACCCTTTAGCCGGCCATTTTGGTGTCGATCGTACATGGAACAATATTAAAAATAAATACTATTGGCCCAACATGTAAAAGACAATCGACGATTATATTCGATCATGCCATCAATGTGCACGATTTAATATACAACGACAAAAACCACCTGGTCTCTTACAACCTATCGAACCTCCCGATGAAAGCTTCCAAGTACCCCCGTCTCGACTGGGGTCCGGCTCCTGTTTCATCCGACGAAAACAAATACGTTTTATTTATAACCGATCGTCTATCTGGCTACGTTATTGCTAAAGCTTCGCCAAATAACATGGCTCAAACAACTGCTCAAATATTATTCGAAAACATTTTCCTCGTACATGGTGCTCCGGAATAAATCATCACCGATCAGGGTCAACATTTCAACAATGAACTGATAGCAGCCATATGCACACTCGTCGGTTCCAAACACGCATTCTCAACACCATATCACCCTCAAACCAACGGTCAAACCGAAAGATTCAATGCCACCTTTGCAACACAATTGTCCAAGTACTGCAATGAAGAGAAAAGCAATTGAGATATTTATCTACCATCAGTCGTTTTTGCATACAACAATACTCAACATCGTACGGGGTTCACACCCTATCAGCTCGCGTTTGGTCGTTTACCTCGTAATCCATTTGATTCACCACGTCCGGATTTTAAATTCCGACGACCCAACGATTATTGGCTACACGTTCAACGTTTCAGAGCATACGCCACTCAAATGGCTCGCAGAAATATTCAACATCAACAACAACTATCAAAACAACGCTATGATCTAAATCGAAATAGTTCGTCTTATAACATCGGTGATTTAGTCTGGTTCAAAGTACTCGTTGGCCGCTGTAAATTAGATGAAAGGTTTCGTGGCCCTTTTCAAATTACTCGACAGCTTAATTCGCTCAATTATACGTTAGATGATGGCACTACAACATTCACAACACACGTTAACAACTTATTACCTGTCTATGAACGAC